GTGACTCTCTGCTTTAGCATTCCAGTCCCCTATAATGACAAGAACATCTTTCTTTGGTGTCATTTCTAGAATGTGTTGTAAATCTTCATAGAATTGGTCAATTTCAGTCTCTTCAGCATCAGTGGTTGGTGCATAAACTTGGATTACTGTGATGTTGAAAGGTCTGCCTTGGATTCATATTGAAATCATTCTATCATTTTTGAGATTGTATTCTAGTACAGCTTTTCCCACTCTTTTGTTGACTATGAGGGCTTCTCTACTTCTTCTACGGGAATCTTGCCCACAACGGTAGATATGATAATCGTCAGAATTTGCCCATTCCCATCCATTTTAGTTCACTGATGCCCAGGATGTCAATGTTGATTCTTGCCATCGCCTTTTCGACCACATCCAGCTTACCAAGGTTTATAGATCTTACATTCCAGGTTCCTATGCAGTATTTTTCTTTGCAGCATCGGACTTTCCTTTCACTTCCAGGCGCATCCGCAGCTGAGCATCCTTTCAGCTTTGGCCCAACCACTTCATTAGCTCTGGAGCTACTTGTACTTGTTCTCCACTCTTCCTCAGTAGCATATTGGATGCCTTCTGACCTAAAGGCTCATCTTCCAACATCATTTCTTTTAACTTTTTGTTTCTGTTCATGGGATTTTCTTGACAAAAATGCTGGAGTGGCTTGTCAGTTCCTGCTCCAGGTGGATCACATTTAGTCAGAACTTTCCACTACGACCTGTCCTTCTTGCGTGTCCCTGCATGGCATAGCCCATAGCTTCTATGAATTACTCAAGCCCCTTCGCCACAACAAGATAGCAATCCGTGAAGGGGGCTATCCCAGCTATGCCAGAGATTTTTCAACTGGTGCATATTTCCCAGTGATTATTTTCACTGGCCTTTTAACTCAAAACTTTCACTAATCTGGCTTGGAATTTTTTCTTCCATCCCTTGATTTTAAGGTAATTATATTTTTGATTATGTCTTTCTTTAAAAAAAATCCATTATTATCATCTCACTTATAAACTATCCAGGAAATATTCGAATTAAGGCCTGGCACCTTAATCTGTAAATACATCTTTCTTGATAGAATGCCTATAAACACAGCTAGCAGTTGTTCCTGAAGTGAATTGAGCAGAGAGTGACTATAATGGTCATAGAAATTATCTTGGGAAAGTGTTTTCCTTTATAATTTAACATATGAAAAATGAATTGCTAGAATTACTAGGTTCCATTAAGACATGAAAATCCTACTCTGTAGTTCCTGGGACATTTCCACTCCCTCAGATTATTTCTTGGGGCATGGGGAATGTAGAAGAAAGGAAGCAAGTTAGCCATTCTTCTGATTCAGCAGAAAAAGAAACCCAACAGGCACCAGCCCTTGTTTCATACAATTTTAAGTGCATAGCACTTGCCAAGTATCCCAGTACGTTTGCACCAACTGGGCAGAACAACAGATTGAGGTCGCAAGTATGCATCCTACTAAGCAACCTTCATAATTCAGTTGCTTGTTTCTTAGGAAATGGTTTGGTACTACACTGGCAACTACTGCACAAAATGCTGCCCAAGGCTTTTCAGCAATTAACCACTTATTTTACAGTGCACCTGAGGCAAAATAAACACAAATTCAGCAGCAATTTAGGAAAGAGGCATCCCCAATAACTTTTCCAACATAACTCAGGCAAGTAACTGTGTCAGTCTAAACTGAGAGAAATCCCAGATCGCTTAGTTTGGTTTCCTCTAACTGAGTGGGTTGAACAACAGCACTCAGCATCTCCACCCAGCCAATGTGGTTTCGGTGGGAAAGATAGCATTGGTCATCCAAAACAGCTGTGAGGCCATTACCTTAGGAAACATGGCCACGGCTGCCACCTTTTGGGCACATCTCAACAAATGCACCTTTGTGACAGGACCTGAATATTATTATTCACATCTGTATTCAATGTTGATGGTTGCCAAAAGCAAAACTATGAATTCTCTGTTCTCAGATGCTCTCCAGATGCGTTCCTTTGCCTTCCCACTCCACCACTAGTTGCTAAAAATACTGGAAGAACTCAGCGTCATCATCTTCACTGTTTTCATGTTATGTTACTTTCTATAAATGGCACATTTAGTGCTATTTACCTATATTTATACCTAACATTTACCTATATTAAATTTTAAAGGGCCTGTGTAAGACAGTAGGACAGAATTATCCAGATGCGTTCCTTTGCCTTCCCACTCCACCACTAGTTGCTAAAAATACTGGAAGAACTCAGCGTCATCATCTTCACTGTTTTCATGTTATGTTACTTTCTATAAATGGCACATTTAGTGCTATTTACCTATATTTATACCTAACATTTACCTATATTAAATTTTAAAGGGCCTGTGTAAGACAGTAGGACAGAATTATTTATTTTATTTTACCTATAACATGAATTTTCAAACAGATAATGCTAAAACACAAACACACATAGAATAGATTAACAGAATTAAAACAGAGAATTATCACATCAAAACATGTACATAATTAGTGTGGTTTAAAAAAAATTTTTAAAAAGCAGAAAATATTTACTTGCACTTGAACTTTAAGAAAAGAAAAGAAAACAGCTTACCATCAAGCAACCAAGGCTGGCTCTGCATTTTCTGCAGTTCTGTCATCATGACACGTGTGAATACATGATCTGGCACCAAAAGGCCTTTCTCAAGATACTGCTTTGCCAATATGCCCACATCTGTTCAAATGATGGGGAGAAAAACACAGAAACTTCTGATAATTTTCTTGAAACATCTCTATTCATCTCTATTCTGGAGGATTTATCTCCCCCACCAATTAAGAAAAGAGAACAGAATGTTCAGGGGGAAAGGCACAAATAAAAAGGCTGACTTTCATAATTCCACTTGTTATCTCAGAGTTATCTCCCCTCTGCTCACCCCAATCTAACAGAATATTAGGAAGCTGAAGAGGAGACCGTTCCAGGAAATCTAGTTGGCTGTTTAAGCTTCAGTGCCTTTTGACATCACCAGCCCCTATTCCCATGGCATCCCTCTCCTCATTAGCAGAATTCCAATTCCCAGTACTGCCTTGCCAAGTTTGGTGAATCATTACATTCCCAATCACCCAAATGGCACGTGCTTAAAAAGGAACTCTCTCAAATCTGCTAGATGTAAGACGAAGTCCAGAGCTATAAGGGAACCCACTTGGCACAGACAGTAGAAGGGAAGAGACAGGAAGCATCATAAGAACCCTCAGAAATTAAATGAAAAGTTAAATAGCACAAAAGTGGCCTGACAAAGAAGGTAAACAGAAGGGGCCTAGGATGGAAGATAACCAGGTTGGGTCCAGATGGATGAGACAGAAAACAATGAGTTAAACAAGAGGGCCAACAGTCCAGAAGGAGTCAACTAATGAAATAAGAGGCAAGAGATGTAAAGAAAGTTGATAGGGAAATCATAAGCCAGTGGGAAGAAAGACTGAGCTAGAACTGTGAGGAATGAAGAAGAAATGGAAACACTCAACTACAGACCATTTTTACAGGCGATTTTCTTGCCCATCCCAGTATTTGACATCTTGTGAAAGACTTAATGTATCACTGAGATAATTCAGGTGTTTTTGGACTGCATCTCCCAGAAACCCATCCAGCACAGCTAGTGCCATGGGAGTTGCAGTCTGAGAACACGTCGGTTATCTAAGATTGGGAACTACTGGTATAATGGAAAGGGTGTGGAGGAGAAAAAGAAACAATAAATGGCAGCAAGCTACCTGATGAAAATAGTCTGTCAAAATAAGCATTTTTCCCCCAAGGCATTCAACAGTCTGAGCCTGTAACAACATGCATTTTCTCCATGTTCCATTTGTTCAGTGCAAATATATATATATATCTTGTTTACAGATTGAGTGGGTTAAACATATGCATCCTCCAAATTAAACACCTTCCACTTCCCCTCCCATTTTGTCAGAATAAGCCCAAATTGGTATCAGTATTCTGAAAGACATTGCAGTAAACTATTTATAGCTGGATCTTAATGAATTTATGTTCACAACAGCCTTCTAGATCACTGAGTGGTGCATAAACCAGAATGCATTTAGAAAGTTCTCTATTGATAGTACAGTATTCTGTTTTCTAGCTGAAAAACAGATATAAAATTATAGTAGGTCTTTGTAGCTATTTGCATAAAAACACCTGAACATAACTTTACAGCAATAGCGGCAGCAAGGCAATTGGTAAAAAGATTAAATCTTGAAAGGGAAAACAAAATGTTAGTTGATGCCACACCTTCATTCTTTATTTCGCCTCTTTCAAATCAGGGTCTTTATCTGAAGTATAGTTTTCCTGCTGCACTAAAATATATTACAGAATTTGCCCAGCAGGGTGCTCTAAAACAGAGGACATGGTACATTTTCTAACAGAATATTCTCTGTATGTAGATCTGAGGGACCAAGACCTTAAACCCTTAAAAACTGGGATCAAGAACACTTCCTCTTTACGTATAGTTTTATTCCTGCTAGCTGGCACAGACTACTATATATCCTCTAGGACCACTAAATTCATTAAACGAGCCATGGAAAGATGGAACTTACTACCCACTTCACAATTTCTTCAAGTTAATTTCACATCTTGTTAATTTTTTGAGAATGCTTATTTTATAATTTTATCACTATTATTGTATTAGTTTAATCTTTTAATGCTTATTTATATGCATTTACATTAGATCTCAAATACTATTTTTAAGATTGGTCTAATTTATGCTCTCGTGTACAGTCCGATCAGCTAGAAAGCAATTGTGTGTGTATGTATGTATGTATGTATGTGTACAGCCCGATCAGCTAGAAAGCAATCATGTATGTATGTATGTATGTATGTATGTATGTATGTATGTACGTACGTACGTACGTACGTACGTACGTACGTACGTACGTACGCATGCATGTTACAGAACACAGTGGTACGAAGGAGGTATCACCTTACAATATGAGATCCATTTTTTAATTCTCAGTCTTATGAGTAGAAACCTTTGTCTCTCCAGATGTTCTAAAGGGACTGCAACCCTCCCAATCTCTTACCACAAGCCATCCTGGGTAGGACCAATGGCACCTATCAGCCAAAATCACAAAGATTTCCCATGAACTGCCTTGGGTCACAAAGAGTCTATGAAGCAGCTCAGAAACATTTGCACTCACACTGTTACATTAAGGTTAAACTTTAAAGAGTTGTAAGTCACTGGCACTGAACCTTCACAGAATAATTCTGTTAATTCAAGAGATCATTAAAGTGTGGCTATCACTTACTATTACACTAAGAATGACAAGGAATAAAATTCGAGGGGAAAGGTCATTAGTCAAGAAAGTTGGTATTTAAAAATTAAAAGAACAAATTTTAGAAGTATTATTGATTAGGAATAACTAACTAATTTTTAACGAACTAATTCCAAGTTCTGCTGTGAAGAACATTCCCTTCACCTTTACTTCTAGTAGGGCCGTTGCTTATTTCAACAGCTGCACGACTCCACTACTTACTGAATTTAGTCCTGCCTTACAGCAGCTGAAAAATGCAACCATCTTCTTCCCCTTCCTGAACAATCCACTGAGGACTTACTGACACCATTTTACTGCCCAAGCCAGTATAGCAAATGGCATCCCTTTCAAACAAGATGCATCACACCCAAGGCAAGTTAATGTGTTCTGGTATCCAAGGCAAAAAATATTGTATGTACCACCTCACATCGTCCAGCAATTATCATAATAAGAACTCACGTTCTTTCTTTCTTGACACTAAACATCAGTTGTCCAGGTGAGCGGACTCAGTTTAGCTAATGGTAAAGTCAGTCCTGCAAGCTTCATCTGCTACTGTGTGCTACTCCCCTGAATTCCCACAACAGACTTTCTTTGAGTGTTTGCCCAGATGTGCAAGAGGAGGACTTGGCCAAAGGGATGGGGTACACATGCTGATCCACCATCTCCATTCCCAAACCTTGCCATGCTGTTCAGTATGTTCTACTCCTGTTCACTAGAACATAAGCTGTATGCTCCATGTTTTTGGGGACGTCAGTGAAGATGGCTTCTGATCCAATGGAACATTCCACCCACATTCAAGCAAAGATGAGTAGAGAAGCCCTTCAGACCTGGGTGCTCAATGTGGGCAGGCAGAGGCTGGATTTAGAGTTCTCAGGATCCCCGCTCTCAGCATGGCCAGTGGCCATCTTGGCTAGAGAGCTCTGGGAGCTGCAGTCCTAAAAAGGAACTTTTCTAAGCTTTGGGAGAGAGGTACAAGTTTAAGGCAACAAAGGGTTCAGATAAACTTAGAAGGTTGAGAGAACTTCAGCTAAGAGAATGATTAGCTATTTTAAAAATGGCACTATGTATCTCACATCACGCAACAACACAGGCCAGCCTTATATATGGAAAAAAGTACGTTAACCTACAGGGAACACGTTATTAAATAATGTATACACTGTGCTATCAGTGGTCAGATGTTTAGACCCAGCTCTCAAACGCTTTCTTTGACAGCATCATATTCTTGCACAAGAAGTTTAAACACCACTTTCTGTCGACCAGATTGTTTACATATTAACTCAAGACTGATGTGGAAAAATCTTCAACTCTTCTAACTAGGTGAAAGACTAATGTTAGGGGAACAGTCCTGCCTTTCACCAAGTACTCTTTTATTAGTATATGACCTAAGGAAAGTTTTTTTGGTTTCTTCACAATAATGTGCTCTGCTGAGGACTCTCTTTAGCAAACAGAAGACTGGCAAACAGAAGATTTCATTTGCGACAGCAGATGCTGCTTGTCTGACAAATACTGGGTCCAACAACCTGCAAGCCTTTTCTCACAGTGAAAAATTAAAACTTGTAAGACAGATACAATCAAGCATTCACAAGACTTTAATATAAATACCTGCCAAAGAGATATACTGTAAATCTAAGCCTAGACCCCTACCTACCCAATAGCAGAAACTCTTTGCCAGGCCAGCAACAAGGTTCGCAGGGTGGATTTGCAAAGCAATGGCCAGTTCTCAATTCTAGTTTCTGGCTCCTCAGCTAATCCAGCCATTTTAGTGAGTTAGGTATCTAGTTGTGGAGCCAGAGATTGGCAGTTCAATTCCCCACTGTGCCTCCTTCCGAGCAGAACCAGCCGGTGTGGCTTTGGGCAGAATGCATTGTCCCAGGATGCCCCCAGAACAAGGGAATGGTAAACCATTTTTCTCTACCTAGAAGACCTCAAAACAGGTTGCCATAAAGCAGAATTTACTTGACAGCATATGATGATTATTAGGAAACAATGAAAAGTGAGAAATGAAGGTTCTACTCCCCCCACTTTTTTCTAAGGTACAGATCATTAAGCAAAAACTCACACAAAAGAAAAATATAGAACAGTAACAAGCAAATAGAGCAAAAAAAATCTACAAATGATTAACATTACAAGTGATGCGAAGGATGCAAAAGTGTAAGTACAGTATTTAGATGTTGTACCTTCATGCTTTCTTTTTATAAAAACACAACGAATGGATACTTCTTTTCATAAAACTATTTTCTTGTTCTGCCGAGGAATACACAACAGACCAATACAGCACAGTCTACATCATCATATTTATGGTGAAAGTGACAGCAAGAGAGACTGGGAGGCAAGTGAGCTCATTTTGCTAAACTGTGAGAGCATGAGTCATAGGTTAAAATAAATAGAATGTTTCACTAAAAATCAAGTCAGGGATTTGTGTGCACACCCATTGCCACA